ACATTTCTTGGGAGTCCCAAAAATCTCAAAGTCGCGTTCGTTACGTTGACCAATTCGTTTAGATATCCCATTTTTTCTAAATACAATTCCAATCCCCCGCAATCAAATTTGTCGTTATTTAACAGTTTTTCTATTTGGGGGTCATTGTTGCACTCACAGTCCATTGATTGCATTGAAACGGAAGATTCCGAACGTTCATTGTCTTCATTTTCTTCACAGTCAACTTGTGAATCTTTTTGTTGCGTTTGAAGACATTGAATAACATCTTCATTGTTTGCAATTTCCAGTTCATTAATAATATGGTCGTTGTTTTGGAATAACAAAATTTCTTGCTCTGGTGGTGCCACATTTCTTTCTCCTGGAAGTGGTATATTATTTAACACGAGAAAGTTGTATAATTGATTAAACCCTGCACGAGGAATGGCAAACTGATTCAAATAATTTAAACAACCAAGTGTGTTGTGTAACATTAATTGCTTTGGTGATCCAATCAATAAATATTTGACATTTTTCGATAAGAGAGTTTAAATAATTAATTTCATTTTGGCTGTCACTGATTGCATCTTCTATATAAACAACTGAATAATTCATCACATTGTTGTAATTATAAACACAACAATTAAATAAAGGGAAGAATTGTTTTGTTATTGTATCAAGTTGTTTCCCAAAAAATTCATAAGTTGTGTGTTTGTACTCACAATTATTTATTGGAGTCAATAAATCATTAAAGTCGAGTCGCCGTGATGTAAAATCTGTTAAATTAATATAGGAAGATGGTGGTAGTGCTTCCATTAATTTGATAATTACAAGTTCGTGATTTTTTAGTAAAATATATTTTTCATTGATTTTTCTTTTTTGTTGTTAAATAAAAATAATTTTCTTTTTTTAAAATAAAAATTGATTAAAAAAGATTAAATTACATTGATAAGCAATTCGAATTTAGTGTTCGTTGTAAAGAAAAAATGATTTAAAATGCGTTAAAAATACTTAAATTTTTGGATTATTTATTTTTTTCAAAATAACTTGTTAAATTATTTAAAAAATGTCATTATAAAAGTATCAATAAGAATGTTCTTTCAATCAGTAAAAAAACAAGAAAAATACAACCTTTAGTGATCGGACAACGTTGTTTGAATGACTCTAGTAATTAATTAAATATGAATCAAAAAATAGTTTATGATTTTTAAATAGTTTAAAAAATGACTAATAAAGTTTTAATAAATTAATTAATTTTATTATGATTAATAATATAGTTAAACATAAAAAACATAATTATACTATATAATATAGATTTATAGTAATATAATGTATGGTAATTGTGAAATAATGAAAATAAAAAACTTCTTTATACAATTCAATGTTAAAATAGATCTATGGTAATGTTTACGAGTTCAAAAAATATAGGTTAATATAATTATTTTTATGAAGAGATTTTATTAATTTATACTATAAATAATTAAAAAGTAATAGATCATATTTTCTAAATATTTGTATGTATTAACGATGTCTTAGATTATATTCTCATTTAATTTCTACCTTATGAGTGGATGTTATTGCGTAAATGAATATTAAAAAGATATAAGGTAATACATTCATTGTTCTGAAACATATCAGTTACTGAAATTTTATATACAAACAAAAGAAGTGCCATTTCAAATTAAAAGCATGTTTGAGTAATTTTTTAAAGAAGCAAAAAATACTATTATTTAGTAATTTCTTACAAGTAGTTAAATGAGTAATATTATTTAACATCGAAAAGTAACGTATTTGAGTTATACAAACGAAGGATACACTCACTTCTGCATGAGAAATTGGTTGAGTTGGAAAAGAAGCAATGTGTCCTTGACGTGCCTGAGGATGTCCGAGATGTCCTTTGATTTCAAGTCGACGTTGTGTGTAATTGCAAACATCAGAGCGTCTGCGTATTCTTGGTGGATAATAAGTGTTTCGAATATATGCGTGTTTTTGTTCTTCATCCGCTTAAGCATGTCCAGTGCAAATTGAAATAGAAAGTCGCACTTGTCTCTGTTTGACACCAAGTGCAATGCAATGACCTCGTCGTCTGGTATCACATGGCATTGCAACATCATAAGTAATCGAGTGATTTGGTTGTCGTTAATAAGCTCGTTGATGTACCTAATAAATACCCCAGCTGGTATCTTCTTTGGGCACGAATTAATGAATTCCAACACGATGAAACAAAACACTGGGGGGTCGGGGTGCCACTCCAAGAGTGCAGAAGAAATGATTTCCGTGTTTGTTGTGTTAGAGAATATTTTTCGAATTGTCTCAAACGGAATGTGTCCCTTATAAAAGTCGTCGAATATTTGTGAAAGTGATTGTTGAATGACTGTGACGGGAGAGTGATGTTTTAATAGAATTGCTGTTCTGTCGGGACAAGGAAGGTAACTTGATATTGCGCTAAAGTCGATGCCAAAAGTAGTGATAGACCTCTCGTTGAAATTTAAGAAGTGAGATTGGTTGAACCGAATGTTGTCTTGTGCTGTTGTGTTAAATCGTTTCAAACACTATTTTTACCATCAAATAAACAACAAACAGAGTGGTGGCAATTTAACAACGGCTACTTTATGGAACTCCCCGGCTGAGAAGTAATAAACAACGCCAATAGAAAATGTCATGACGAGTAAAAAGTCGGAAACGACTGCGACTTGGGCGAATGTATAGACTGGAATAATGACTTCTTTATACTCATCATTTTGAGGACCAATTCGGATGACAATGGCAGACTTTGCATTGGGTTCGTATGCGAAAATGAAAGAATAGTTGAAGATGGTTGCCAAGTCGAAAGAAATTGGAAGTGTTGTTGAGATGGGAAAAGAGATGTCTTGAATGAAATGCATTGTGTCGCAAACTTCAAACACGCTGAATATGATTTGTTTTTTGGTTTGTGTCATCAAGACGATATAACTAGCAGTCCACTTCCAATTGCTCATTTGTTTGTGTTTCATCGACTTAGCAGACTTTCTTTTGATATCAAAGTAATAGAAAAACGTCTCAGTAATTGCCACAACAGTCGATTGAAACAACGAAATCCCTTTCACGTCTTCGTTGCATTCCACGCGTTGTAAAATCGTGTCTTTATACTTAACGATGATGACACGTTGGTTTTTCAACGTTGTGTATATAAACAAATCGTTTTCTTGGTCAAAACAGAACGACGCGATCGACTCAGTAGTTTTATAAGGAAGTTCTTCTATGAACGGGTCTTTGGTAGTTGTTGTAAAAAGGGCGTGTGTGGAGTCGTCGATGAAATAATATCCACCTTGGTTGTTTGGGACATACCTACACTTCTTCAAATTGAAAATGGAAATTGCTGTGGTGATCGGGGAAAACTCTGACATGTTAACTTTTTAGTTTTAATATGGTATTCTTTTTTTTTTAAAATGGATTTTTCTTTGATTACTCATTTCTTTGGCAATTCTTTTTTCATTTTATTTGATTGGTTGAAATGATTGGAAATATAGTTTCAATTCGTTTGCTTTTTTGTTTTTATTATGAATAAATTATAGTTTGCTTATGTATAAGATGATAGAATTGGTTATATTTAGTATAATTAATTATTAGAGTTGTAACGAATGTCGAATTCTTAGCAAACTCTACAAAGTGTTAAATTTATAATTAAACTATAGTTTATGTTACTTTGGTGGGTGATATTTATTTAATCTTTGTGTAGCGATTCTATGCTTTTTAGAAATCAAGTGGGTCTTCCACTCGTTTTCACCATTCAAGGTTACTTTACAAACGTCACAATAGTACTTCTTCCATTCCACAAAGTTTTTAGTTTCAATACTCGTTGTGGGTGACATTTCTAGTGTCGATTCCATCGCGTTTTTGACAAAGATAACCACTTGATCAAATCCAACCTTCACATCTCCGTTGTGAATAAAATGATACATTAAAACATTCCGCTGTGCTATAAATCTATTCTTGATGAACCGGATTTGTTTTCTGATGTATTGCTTTGTGTGTGTTTTCATATTCAGGATTGCATCTTCTATGGTGCCCTTGTTTAGACGGATGTCAATAAATTCACTCAAACCGATCGCCATACAAATTCCCCACTTCCATTCCAATTGTTCCAACTCGAATTTATATGATTCTATAAACTCAACGTTCTCTTGAACAACACCACTCGACACCATCTCGTCAACACGAGTGTCTGCTCTCTTGTCCAACAAAACCAATGCAGCGTCTACCCATACAAAAACTGCTTTGTATTTCACATCAACTTTATCCTCAAGTAGTTGTGATGATAATGTCTTCCCTGTTCGGTAATAAAAGAGTAACGCATTTCGTATCCGCGTTGTATCATTTTCATGAAGTCTCTCCGCCATTTGAGGATCAACTTCCTCCAATTTTTTATACAGCATTTCTTCGGAAGGAAGTTCAAAATCCAAATCTTCTTGATCTGCCTTTTCTCCATTTCTGTGTGTCAATTCGTTCGAGTCAAATTGGTTGGATTCATGTCTGTAAATAAGAGCATCGATGTAGTACGACGTCCCGCCGCAAACGATTGGGACTTTGTTTTGCTTTGCGATTTGTTCTATTTGCAAGTCCGCATCGATGACCCACTTTTGAATTGTGTAGTTTACAGAGGAGGGGACGCAGTCGACCAAATGGTAGTGATATTTTTCTCGCTCAGACAACGAGGGTTTATTTGTAGCAATAGGCACCCCTCTATAACATTGCATGACATCAGCGTTAACGATTTCTCCATTGAATTGTTCACAAAGAAGATGTGCAACACTTGATTTTCCAGAAGCTGTAGCGCCGACGACGACTATGATTTGTTGGCTTTGTTTAGAGTCGTAAGTCGACATCGTTGACTTTTTTCAATTAGTTTTGTTTTTAATAACAGTAAAAATGTCAAAAAGATTTGAAGTGTTTGGGTGAATGACATTTTAAATCAAATTAATTATTAAAAAAATTTAAAAACGAAAAGGAATTGGTTCAACTTGAAAATTTAGTGAGGATTAAGAATGGCAACATTCCAACCAAATAACTTGAGTCGCATGCCAGCTCCTCAACCACTGAACATTTTTGATTATTGCCCGGTCTGTTGTAAACAGTATGGTATCATCTTTGTGCGACGTAAACAATGCAAATGCTGTTTAAGGTACTTCTGCTCAAACTGTATTGGTGAGTCGAAAAACAAGTTCTGCACTTTGTGCGAAAAACACAACAACGAACACTTGACGTGTATCTCAGTCTACGCAACTTACTTTATTGATGGGAGCGACCAGACGAAAATGATTGCATTCGCCAATTTCACGTACTATTCCAACTCGCGATACACCATCTTTGAACTTGTGAACGGTGGGATTATCCCCGCAATGATGTTTCTTCTGAAATTTCCAGAGTACCAACCGACACTGATACAAATATTTGTCCTTGGAATTAAGGCGGATAGTAGAACGCGTATAATGTTCGACACACAGGCGTTTTTGGAGTTGAGTAAGATGACCAAATTACATGAAGAGATTCTGTTCATCCTTGGGAACGTCGTTGTCGGGTCCATGAAGGGTGCGACCGACAAACCAAATCGAACAATGGAAGAGGTTGTCGAAAGTCTTACAAAGGCAAGAGAATTTGTCGAGAACGAGAATTACCAAATCAACGACTACAGGAAGGAGTTTATAGAAGTAAAAGAAAATAGGGAAGGGGAGTTTGTTGAACGAGTGATGGAACAATTTGTAAGCGACTCGATGTTGTCGATGTTACACGTGTTATACAAAGAAAATGAGAAGTATAGAAATGTTGTTGAGGTGATGTACAGATTCATCGCATGTGGTATCGAAATGACAAAAACTAAACTGAATGAAAGTGCGTGTCGAAATTTGGTCAAAATGATTGACCGAGACAATTTGAGTTCACTTATTATTGTCATCATAGCAGCCAGTAAAACTCAAAAGTCGGTGGTTCCATTCCTCGAGAATGGAATACTGGAGAAGATGGACTCGCTCATGGACGAATACGACAAGACAAATCACATGGCTATAGTTGAAATTGTGAAATTGATCAAGGCGCATTGGAGTGTGTTTTTGAAGTTGACTACATCTCCAATTTTCATTCAGATATTAGTCAAACTTGTGAAAGAGGAGGAAGCAGCTCAAATTGCTGCGGCATCAATTTTGGAATTTATAGTGGACAACAAAGATATTCCAAAGTACCAACTCTGTGAATTGATGATTGAAGAACACCCGGATGTTATTGAGATATTACTGAACAGCGCAGTCAGATCAAAGAAAGTTGTTGGATTAAAATTGAGTAAAGTGATGCTGAACACATATGGCGATGAGGCTAGTGTTGTGTTTCTTAGTCGTGGGATTATTGACTCGCTCATCATGCTTTCGAGAACTGATTTTGAGCTCATGTCAAGGTGTTACAAAGTGTTGCAAACAGCAGCACGGTATCACACCGAGTTGGTTGATTATTACATTCAAACATCTTTCATTTGCACACTGTTTGTCAATATGAAAAACGCGCCATTACAGTCACTGGTTGCAATCAACGAATTGATCGAAAACAACAACGTCAAAACCGAAATTTTACAGACGCCTGAAAACATCGAAATGTTAATTTCACTTCTGACAAGTGACGATGGAAAGGTACTCCATGAGGTTTTACACTTACTTAACACTTTGTACAAAAACGAAGATGTTGTAAAAAAGACAAAGACAAACATTATGCCATTGTTGTTGCCCCTCTTCAAAAAACTTCCAATCCACTCGTTCGCAATTTTATTGCAATTAATATGTTCGATAATATCTGTTGTTGGGATGGAGGAACGAGACGCGTCCCTCTTTGTCAACTCCTCAATTTTGTTTTTGGAACAACAAAAAAACCTTTCGTTACTGCAGTCAGTCTATACATCTTTTGCTATTGCAGTCAAAACACCACAAATTCGAGACGTTTTCATTCATGGAGATTCAAATGACATTGAGGCGGATGGGTACTTCTCGTATTTGGTGTGTTGTTTTGTGGCAGAGAAGTCTCTCGTATTGAAAGCGGCCCAGCTGCAATTTTTCACCCAGTTTATCATTAAAAAAGACAAAGACAATTTGATGGCATTAGATGTACTTCAACCACTCATCACTTATATTTTACAAGCACAAAGTGTTCTCCCAACAAACGACCCCTTTGTGGCAGAGACACTGTTGTATTTGGCGGCGGTCATTTCAATTGACAACGGGAATGCAACGACTGTGATATACACAAGTGGAATACTTGACATATTCATTCAACTCACAACGAAGTGGAAAGCGACCAAAACAGGGTTAATGGAGAAGTTTGTCGGATTTGTTGATATCCTCTTTGAACAAATTCCGTCTATTTTTTCAGAACACCCGAAGTTGGCGATGGCGATACCAGAGTTCCTAGGGTATTCCGCACTCTCATTGGATACAGTGAAAGTCATTGTTCGACTTATTAATGAAATGAAAATGGTGAATTTGCCAATCATCTTCCCGCCAAGTGGGGTACACACCTTGATCATCGCTTCAAAGAAAAATCCAGAGGTTCGTGTATTTGAGTTAATTCAGAGCAACAGCAATTTTGAGGTCGCTCTCCACAAAGACGTTGATTTGTTACTCCACTCTACATTACCTGAAATGAGAAATTTGGGGTTTCTTGTTGCAAAGCAACAATTTGACGAGAAAGTTATTGATGGGGCACTAACATTGATGTGGGAAGAACTGGGTAAAGACGAACTTGTTGAGTTGCTTGATTTGTTGTACAGTTGCAGTGTTGGAGATTTTAAAGAGTATTTGGTTTGCCATAAGTTGGTTGTGCCATTTGTGAAGTTTTTAAGTGAATCGGCGGATTTATTTGGCGAGAGGACTGTTCTTTCTTTGTTCAGGTTCTTGGATAAAATACCGGTCACTCCGTATCACATCACTTTGGTCAAACAACACGGAAGACCTTTTACCAAAAGTGTTGTCAATATAATAGAAAAGATCCCCATTTGCTTTTTGAAAGAAGAGAAGGAGTGGTTATTCGATTGTGTGAGGGAGAGACTGGACGAAGACGCGTATCGTGTTATTAAACATTTGGTATCGAATAAAGAGTGCGAGACGTATTTAATGGGAATGACCGACGTTGTGATTGAGTTGGTTGAAAACATGCCAAAAACCCTCGACGTGTTAATTCGGATACGGAATGTCGATTTACAGCCACTAGTCTTACTGTCTACGGATGTTCACTCGATGATACAACAGGATGGACGAGCTCTTCGACTGTTGGTGCCATTTACGTGGTATTCTATGGATTATGTGGATGATGCGAAGGAGTTGTTGATTGAAGGAAGAAACGTTGAAGATGCGATATTCTTTTTTGTGTATATGATGGACCGAGAAGAGATGTACAAACGGAAGGAAGACGTCATCAACGAAATTCTACCTTTTGTCAAGCATTTTGCACTAGGAGGAGGTGTTGGGGGGAAGGAACTCCTGATGAAGATAATCAATGGGGTGCCAATGGAAAATGAAAAGATGAGTGTCGACTCGATGTTTGAAGAGGCTGCGATGAAAAAGGATTATGAGATGTGCAAAGTAGTTTGCGAGATGATATTAAAAGGGTTCAAATTTTCAATTGACAAACACAAAGAAAGTATTCAGTTGTGTGTCAAGGAGGTTCCTGCATTGTTGATAATTGCAACGAAATATTACGATCAGATGATAGTTGGGATCACAACTGACACTGTTGAAGAAGCGATTAAGAAGTGTAGTAAAAAGAAGCTTTTTGAGGACAACTTGGTTGGATTTATTCTGAACTGTTTAAAGAATAAAGAGTACAAGACGGTAGTAAAGAAGTTGGCCGACAATGGGACGTTTAAAGGGAATATTGAGAACAACGTGTTATTTGGATTTATTCAATCGAATTTGTGAGTTTGTCTTGTGTTCAAGTTTTATAGTTTTTTTAACACATTCAAGAAAAAGAAGAAAAGTTTATGAGTCAATTTATCCTAAAAAGTTTGCAACAGCAAGTTGGAGGAGAATGACGCAGAAAATGTACTCAACAAAATAGCCACGAGCGTTGTTGCTTTCACCTTCGCGAAGTCTAAGAGACACTATCGATAAGTCGTGCATAAGAATTGGAGAGCAAAGAAAACAAACTTGTGAAGACAAACATCCCGAAACACGAGAAAAGAGCAGAAACAAAGGAATTAAGTGGGTTATGACAAAACAAAAAGCCATATATTAACACTAAAATTCCCATCAAAAGCTGAAAGATGATGAAACAGTCGATTGTTTTGATTCTTGATGGGGTCTCTTTCATGTAGCTTGTGAGAAGCGTCTTTAAGAATGGATCCTCTTCTTTGACTTCTTTAACTTCTTCTTTCTTTTCATTTTTTCCACCCTTCTTACTCATCTCTACATTTTTAAGTTCTTTTTCTTGGTGAATAACATTTTTAGAAAATACAATGATTAGTTTTTCTTTTATAGTTATTGTTTATCTAATATATTTAATTTGGTATACTATATATTATAGTTGTTTCTCTAGTTTTTATATATATTGTATTTTACTATTAATAATAGTTTCGAGTTATTTTTTTTTAAATTGTTAACTTTTTGATTTTTATAGTTATCGAATTTAATAATAATAATTATTAATATAATATAAAGTTATTTGATACTATTTTTATAATTTATTTTAACCATAATAATATATTTTAAGGTTAAAACACAATTATTATTTTGATACAATTGTTATATTTTTGTTTAAAAAAGCTTATCTCCTTAAGTCGTGAATTTTCAATTTCTGTTTTGTGTTTGAGACGACAATTTATTGACTGTTGTAATATAATATCACTTTCCAATCGAAAACATAAAGATTTAATATTTATTGAATAGAAATGTCTTGTCTCGAATTGTATTAAATAATTTGAAACCCATATTTATAGTCGTAATCCGCCTATTAAAAACCGGAATAAATCAAATACAAAACAAAATCGACTCAATTAGTGTTCAATTTGTCAAGTTATGTTTAAAAACCAGTTTACCACAAATCCAAGTCTCAATATTCATACCAACAGCCAATGCCAAGCATTCTCAAATACTTCTCTCAGGTCTTTAGCTTTTTTAAAGCGAATAAAAATGAAGGGAGTTTAGACACCATCGAAGTGGTTGACGAAGACATAGTCTGTTTTTTCTCATTAGATGGGTATGAAGAGCCTGAACGGTGCCATGCACCTTTTGGTTTTAAAGTTGTGAAATTCTGAATATTATAATTCTATTGTTTTGTTATTGAAGTTGTATTGGTACAATTCAAAAAACGACAAGAAATGTTATTATATTGTTACGAACAAATTATAACACAAGAAGTGATCAATTGCACTCGAGGATTTTGAGGACGGAAGCCTTGAAGAGGTCGAAGTTGTAGTCGTAGACAGTGATGTTCTTTGAATTCTCCTTGTCGACCAACATTGCGAGACAGAAATATTGTGAAATGACTTTGATATACACGAACATGTTATTACCACATTCGATGACAGTCTTCCCAGAAACCATTTGTTGTTCAGTCGAATATGTTGAGAACACGTCCAAAAAGAAACTGAAGGCCTCTTTCAAAAATCCGTAAGAGTGTGGGTTGCCTTTGTTTGTTGCGATATAAAAACGGGTTGGTGTATGAACGATGAATGCGTCTAAAACGGGGCACACTGTTGTAAAGCTTTGCAAAAGACTTGAAAAAGCAGCCGTATTTTTTAAGATCAAGTTGAATGTTGATGAGAAAAAGAGAAAGAGAGAGTTGTCGTAGATGGATGTCATTGTCAGAGTGAAGTCAATTGGAATCTTTTGTGCAGCAAGTGACTTTTGCGCAAGTGATTCGACTGTCGCCTTCATATCGATCTTGTCTGCAATCAACGACTCTGCGTCCCACTTGTGAAGGAGAAAGTCGAATAAAATGGTGTTGTTTGTCTTGTACGCCAACTCGATGAATTGTGTCATGTACTTAATTTGTTCGCTGAAACTTTGTGTCTGGCAATTGAACACGTAAACAACTGCAACGGTCTCCTCTAACATCTTCACCATCATCGTTTCATCCATTTCCATTAACACCTTCCCTGGAATATCCCACACTTCTATCGGGGTTGAAAACCCTTCAACTTCTGTTGATTAATACCATTGATTTGCTGCAAGAAATATGACTACAAGATATCAAACTGATTTTTTGGATGTGAGTGGTTGGCTTAAAATTGACGGTCTCACCAGGTGTCTTCTTCCCAAATACAACTCGGTGGATCGACGATTTGCCTACATAAGGGAGGCCAACTAGAAGGACTAACTGTCGTTTGCTCATAAAGATACTTCTTAATTTTTTTTAGTTCTTTTTAATACTAACCAGTTTTGTTCTTCTGTAGCTATTAAATAGTATAATAATAGAACAGTAAATATACAGAAAAGAATAACAAAATAATAATAATAATAACGTTGATATACAATGAAATAATACGTCTATATTATTAATAATATGTGATGTACAACAAGAAATAATACGTCTAAATTTACAATTGACAGAAGGGATGTGCGGAAAGTGTACCATTAGGTCTGATCTCATTTGCTGTAAGGACAAAATTTGGGTTTGAAGTAACAGTCTTCACGATTCTTTGGTGAATCTCTTTGCCAAGTCCCATGATCTCTTGCTTACTAAACAAACACTTATTGTCTTTGAAAATCCTCTGAATAGTCTCGGATTTTGCAATACCATTTTTGCCTTGTGACTTCGACGTGTTGAAAAAGTAGCCAAGTTCCGTGAGAATGTCGATGAGAAGGTGGAGACACTCGGTAAACTTGTTGTTCTCACACCGCCGCATTGAGGTTTTTTCTTTGACTCCTTTCTTCTTTTCCATGTTCGAAATGTCTTCACATCGCGACTCGATGAACTCAGACACGTCGACAACATACCCGTCGAACCGGAGTTCCTTGATAAACAAAAACTGAAGAGTGGTGGTCGTTCTTTTGGACGGTCTTCCAAAAACGATGTCGCAAAAGGGGACTAGCATGTCGATGAGGACCGCCTCTTGGTAGACTTGGTAGTTTTTGTACGCTTGGTACTTGTTCTTTGTCAATTCGCTTGACATGTCGACGCGTCTCATGTGTGAAATTTGTAATTATAATTAACGGGGAGATTCATATAGTGTGGCGTAAATTATTTGCCTTGTATATTTAGAAAAACAGCATCGTATATTTGGAATATTAATCTTTCTAACAGTTAGGCGTTTCACATCGAATGGCTTGCTTTTGTTGAAGTTGATCTTATTTTCCTTTGTAGAACGGCAAAAAACACCAAACAATAGTTTTTTTCACACGTTTTCTAATTTTACACCATTTGAGTGTTTTGTATATGGAAATGTTTTTATTCTTTCGTGGTTTTCTTTATTGTGGGTATTACAAGCAAAAATTGGCGATATCTCTGTAAAAACAGTTGATGTTGATTCTCTTTGAAAAGACTTTTGGCTATGTCTTTTTTGTTCCAGCTATTGTTTGTCGTTTTTCCTTTCTGATCGTTGTAAAATAACAGCTATTTTACTGACCAACTGTGTTTGCCAATCTATTTTGGGGCGGCACAACATTTCAGTTTGTTCTCAAAAGCTTTTTTTGACACAATTACTGCATTTTCGATAATCGGTTATCACTTACTCTTTACCATTTTTTCTCTTTTTAGGCTTTCTTTTGAACATAAATATCTTTTTTTTGCACATTGAAAATGAAAGTAATCAATCAACCAAAACACACCGTCTCGAAACACTTCACTATTATCTTGACATTTTTCGATGCGTGTCTTGGAAAATAACGGGTGATAATAAATGGGGCTCACATTGCCGTAACTCTGTAAGAAATGATTAAAAAAGGCGTTAAAATTGTTTTTTTCATATTTATTTTTTATTGTTTTTGTTAAATTTGTTAAACGATAACTCTGGTTCTTTTTATTATTTTAGTATTTTCAAAAAAAGAATTCATTTTTTTGTAAAAAAGTGTTCAAGGAAACCACACTTTAAAATAGTCGAAATGCTGCAGAAATAGAATAGATTTGTAAGAGAATATTCTGGATTACTGATTTTTTTAATGAAATTAACAATAAAAATGATAGTTTCATCTTCGCATCTTATAATTAAACTAAACTTTTATCATAATAAAACAATAATTATAAATAGGGTGTTTGTGATTGAAAATTAATTCTGTAATAAACCCATTTTTAATAACTACTACAGTTGGTCCATTAAACCTTAGCCCAGGAAATTAACCTTAGCCCAAAGAAAAACTAATTTATTTCTATTGTTATATTAAAATAATAAACTATACCGATATATAAGTCAATTTTTAAAAATATTTGTTTTTTTAGTAAAAACCCGTGTTTTTAAAGAAAAATATAGGAATTTCTTTGGGCTAAAGTACATTTCCCAGGCTAAGGTTCATTTTCCCTACTGTAATAGTGTTATGGGTTTAATAACACCAATAACTTGCTGTAAGAACAACACAATAAATTTTGGTTTTTTTAATTATTAATCATAGGTTGATTGACTATGTAAATTATTGGTTTGATTAAGAAGTTAGGTTATTAAATGAAAAAATAATAAAGTTTTTAACTGAAAAGTTGTTGATAATAAGAAGAAGAACATCTTTTTTTTTCGAGTTAATGTTGTACTAAAATTTAGTCTAATTAACGGTATTTTTGAGAATTACAAAACCAAAAAAAATCGCGTGCTTTTGAAGATTTTTTGTTCAAACAGAATCGAGCTTTTTTCATTAGTATTGCTATTGTTGGCGCAAAGTGCGGGATTATAACCAGATACAAGTTTCACTACTCTTGTGATACTTTTTATTTGTTTTTTATTGGAGGGTTGTATAATAACTTCTTACAAAATCGAAAGAGGATTTTTTATACATTAGAACCTAAACCATAAAAAATCGATGATTTTATTATTTAAATTTTTTTTCAAGAAAAAAACTTAGATATTAAATTAGAACTCTTTTTTGCCAACAAAAATAATTATTTATTTTTAATGTTATAATGTAATTCTAATATTTATTTATGAATAATAGATTTTTATTCCTGATAATCAATACATTTATAGGCAAAAATATTTATTGGTTTTTATTTTTTGTGCATTTTCGAAGAATTGTAAAAAACATTACTCTTGAACTGTTCAAAACGATCTTATTTTCCATACTAAAACATCAAAAAAATGAAATTAATAGTTGTCGAACTTTCCATTTTCAGAAATAAATATTTTAAGAACCAATAATTGAGTAAAAAAACTGCATATTTGTTCAATTGCTATAAATGTTAAGTGATACAAAAACATTTTCATTCTGCATTTAAATTGTTTTTTTTTTATTAAAAACAATTAAATAAGTTTCTTTGTTAATTAAATCATAATAGTTTAATGGTTTGAAAAAGTGTTATAAAGAAATTATAAATATAGTTGTTTTATAATTTGAAAAAAAGAGACAAAAACACACAAAAAAATTATTTAAATATTAGGTGTTTATGAAGGATATAAGAAAATGATTTTTTATAATTTCCTAATACGAGACGTTTATTTTTATTTACAATCTATGGTTGGAATTAAATTAAAGTTTTAATTTTAATTTTTTTTAACTTTAAATTAAGTTCTTTATATCATAATAAAATGTACTATTAATTCATATACTAAAAAAATAAAAAATAAAAAATGATTTAAAAATTGGCACAAATCTTTTAATTTCAAACACTAACTAATCATAATCATTTTTGTTTATTAACGATTGTTAATAATGTTTGTGTAATTTACTAAATGGGTATGTTTTATATTGTACTTGATTAAAAAATATATTTTAATTATGGGAACGTATTTAATTGTTTAAACACTCTTTGTTATTACACAATAAGAAGAATTTAACAATTCCAATTTTAGTTATAACTGTAAGATCACAAACAACAACATCTACAATTTAAATATTATAAATGTGATACCATTCCAACAATAGAAGAAACAATAATTATACATTTCAAAATTTTTGTCGTTTGATTAAAACACTTTATGGTATTCAATTTGAGACTTTTTTTGTTTTAAACAACAAAACATATAAACTCATAATGTTAAAATACAACCTTTAATGACTCAGCTACTCTTTTCACGAATTGTTAAGGATGGTCATTATATTGGAAGAATAAACTCGTCTTAATAAAAAGTTTGATATATTTATAGTTTCATTTGAATACATCAAAATTATCAAATTAGTTTTAGTATCAATATAGTATTTTTCAATCCAATTCAAAACCCGGAATAAGAGCCGAAAAGATGCAACTTCAAACCCCACAAAAAATAACAAAAAGAAGAAACCCTAAAAAACTCGAAGAAGGCATAAAATGGATTTAAGGAAAGGTGGACACATTGGGCGAAGCTTGATATTTGGGAAGGACAACCGCACTATCATCACAACCGAATTCAACTGTATAATCGAGTGTAACATCAAAACAGGAGAAGTTGTGTCGAAGATGCCCTTCGACACAAATGTGGTTGCGCTTATTGAGAGTGACTCGGACCAATTTTTTGTTGCTCTTACTAGTGGGCGTATAGACCTTGTTAATGGCGAGAAAATGGAAACGGTGTGCACTTGGGAGATTGGCAAACTAATTCACAGAATCGAATACGTTGCACCGAAATACTTCTTCATCAGATCAAGAAGTGAGAATTTTGTATTTGAACTCGACATGAACACATCAACTCCCAATTTCATCAAAACAGAAAATGGGATTCCATCTTGTGATGGAAGTTATATGTACACATCCGTCAAAGACACTGTCATCTGCACTGACCTTAACACTGAAAAGAAAATGACTTTTGCTGGTGTAGACAAGAAAAGAATTGTCATGCTGAAGCAACACCCAACCGACCCACTTAAAGTCTATGCCCAGACAGTAAATGGGATGGTGGTGCTTATCTCATTCGATCCAAACGTTAAAGACGCGGATTATATGTTTACGAGTTTCCACTGGCATTCAATTCAATTTGAAGCAATGGCTATTTACACCGATGCCACCAAATTGTTGACAGGTGGAAAAGAAGGCGTTTTGGTGATCTGGTCCTCTCCAAAAGAAAAAGAATTTGTTAGCGGGTTGGGGTCAAAAATTAAAGCAATTTACACAAGCAAAGACAACAGATACGCCGCTGTTGTTCTAGGGTTTAACACAATTAGTATTATTGATTTGGCTTCACAACGAATTGTTAAAGAAATCAGTGGGGTGTATGCCGTTGAAAACGCCAAAATGTGCAACGCAATTAAAGGACAAATTGTGATCTATGGAGACAGCCCTACCCTTCAAGTGTTCGACCCCATGTCAGACAGACAAATGTTTAAAGCAGATGTCTCAAGACCAAATGTCATCATTCTTGCGTTGGTCGGAGAAACACTACCAGATGCACATATTCAACACGTTGCATTTGTTGACGAAGACAGTTGGATGGTGACTTATGACACCCGTAATGTCACAGAAAGGTATAAGGAAAGTCACTTGAGATTTTTCAAAAAGCAACCGAGCGGTGCCTTTGAGCAAATGCTTATTGTTCCTGAACCCACAAAAGGGATGATCACATCCATTGTATCGAGTCGCTCTGGGAAATACGTTGTGACGACATCACAAGACCATCTCTTCAAGATTTGGGTGCTAAGCAACAGAGAAACACAACAGTCGAAAGGTGGTGTACTTTCAGAAGTGATGTGGAAGTGTCGATCAATCGGTGCATACTACGGAGAAGAGTCCTACAGCGCAACATTCTCGAATGATGGAAGTGTTCTTGGTGTTATGTTCCAGAACGCACTCACATTTTGGGATGTTCAATCGAATAAGATCATGTGCTGCATACCATGCAAGTCAACACTTGGCGATAAGATGTACTTTATGGCTAATAATCGTTACGTCTTGACAACAAATTCACATGGCGTTGTTGCGTGGGATGTGTTGTCACGCTCAGTCAACCATATTTACAATGTAAAAAACCCCAAAGTTGTCGTTCATGATACATCTTCACTCTTTGCAATGTTATTCAAAGAGAACCCAACAGACAAAAAGTCGTGTGTTGCACTTTTTGATGTGGAGCAAAACAAGAAAGTGAGAGAATTTGAAGTGGACGAAACAACTGATCTCACATTCTTTAAGACAGTCACAGATGTCGAATACATCCTTACTATGCACTCGGATTTGACTACATCATTACTATCACTTGAAGATGTTGTTGAGAAAACACCTAAGGAGGTCTTTGCATCAAAGAAGGAGGAAGAGACAAAAGGAATTGAAATCAGGAAATTGGAGGTGGATGACATTGCGAACCAAATAAAGACAGTCAAAATAGTTGGCGAAAGTACTTTAGATGCACTCGAGACTAACATGGCTGACATAAATCATATCTTCAATGTTGTCGTGAATTGCTTATTGAAATGATTGCTTTTGATTTGGTATGTTCAATTTTGAAATGAATTATAATTTTCCAAATGAATCCTTTGAATGATGTAAAACTGTGTATTTTCTTGGATGTTTGTTTTTTAAAGTAAACAAATAAACTTTGAAGAAACTGAAAAAGGTATTGGAAATGACCACGGTATTAACACCAGAATTGTTTGAAGATAACTTCTTGAAACTGACAAATGAAGTTGAAAGGAAACAAAATGGCGTACTGGAAGAATGCAAGAAGTATGAAAAGCTTATTATGGAGATACAGAAGAAAACTATCAAACAGAAAGAAATTCTCAAAGAACAACAAATCAAAATTGAAAAAAACAACTTGGAAATTGAACGACTGAAAAAAGAAGTTGCACTGAAAAGTGGCCAAAGAATTTAAATTGTATAACTCAATTCTTTTTTATATTATTTGAATTGGTAGTAAAACTTCATTGCTTCATTCAGTAATTCATATCCTGTTCAGCCTTTTACAACTACAATGGGCTTGAGCCGTAATACTATTTTGGAAATCCCAGCTTCTTGACACGTTTCAACAACTTGTGTAACATCTTTATAGGCTTCATCACACTCTTCGGCCGCTAACTTGGGGTCCGTTATACGCAAAACTATCCCCTTCTTCTCCATCTCTTGCACAACATTATCAGAAGAAACACTTTTCATTGCTCCTACACGACTCAGTTTCCGACCAGCACCATGACATGTACTCCCAAAAGACTTCTCCATTCCACTCTGCGTCCCTACAAGTACATATGACGACGTTCCCATACTCCCACCTATTATCGCTGGTTGCCCAATCTCTTTGTACTTCTCAGGCAACTCAGGACGATGCGGAGGAAATGCACGGGTCGCCCCTTTCCTGTGGACAACACACTCGACCTCCTCTCCATTCACTACATGCTTTTCTAACTTCGCGATGTTATGGCAGACGTCGTATACTATTCCTAAATCCAATTCTTCAGGCGACTTCTTAAAAACTTCAGAGAACGTCTGTCGAATATGATATGTAATAAACCCACGATTCGCAAATGCAAAATTGGCAGCAGCATTCATTGCACTGAAATATTTTTTTCCATCTTCACTGTTGAAAGGAACCCCAGTGAGTTGCTTGTCAACGGGGTTTGCGGTGTTCTTGGAAAGAAAGGTATCAACAAAATCTTGGCAAACTTGATGGCCTAACCCTCGACTCCCACAATGGACCATCACACATATTTGACCAATCTCAGTGATCCCAAGTGCTTGAGCCGCTTCTTTATCGTAGATATGATCAACTTTCTGGACTTCTAAATAATGATTTCCTGACCCAAGTGTACCTAATTGGTTTTGTCCTCGTGACATTGCTTTCTGACTTATTAAAAGTGGGTTTGCATCAGGAATTTTACCATTTTCTTCACAATAAAGGAAATCGTCGGGGCGAGCGTAGTTATGCGTTGCAAGCCACTCCATCCCATCATTCATTACTTCACGAAGCTCCTTCACCGAAAGACGAAGAGAAGATGTCGTACCAACACCAGATGGGATGTTCTTTTGAAGAGAATCTGCCAATTCAATTTTGTGAGGAAGTATGTCAGACTCTTTGAGGTTGGTCCGAAGAAGACGAACACCACAATTGATATCAAAACCAATTCCACCGGGACAAATACAACCACCTTTATCGGTACGCATTGCTGCTACACCTCCTATCGAAAACCCATACCCACTATGTGCGTCAGGCATAGCAAGAGATTTGACAACACCGGGAAGTGTTGCCACATTTGCGGTTTGTTTGACGCATGAAGAGAATGGTGTACCTTCTTGTTCGTTGAGCAATTCATCCATTAACAAATGAAATAACTCAGTATTACAAAACATCTCAGCATCGCTCAACATCCCGGGAACAAAACCTTTTTTGATAATAAGGGAATTTTTTGTCCGCTCTAATTTCCCATCATATTCTTTCGGAATTTTACATCCACAGAACTCTATAGTCTCTTTGGGGACAGAGGGAAGAGGAACCACTGCGTGTCGCTTGCCAGGTTTATATCCACTAGTAGACATTTTCGAGTGGTTTTTTCAGTCTATAGAAATGAATTCTATCTTTTCTAATAAAGTTGTTATTAATAAAAAGTTAATAATTCTATTATACCTAAATGAGTGATTAGAAAGATTAAACTTGAATTCAAAAAAGACGTAGAAGTGATGGCATCACCACAACAACAAATTCGAAATAACTTGGAGACAATTAGTTCATTCAGTTTGTTCTATTCATTTGAGTGTTTGTATTATTAATAAATATTTACAACGAGGGACCACCAAAGTGAGGAACTACATCGATATCCAAAACAACTTACAACAGCTACGTGACCAAATCACAGAGGACCATGCTGTGTTAATGGACTTGATTAAAGGAAATCAAACGAAGAAATATTGCGCAGACGTCTTACAATTGATGGACGACTACGACAACCAAGTCAAACAAGCACATGCAGAGATTATTATACTTCTCCAAAAACACGACACAGAGGTCAAGAAGGCAAACACCGTCTTCAACGACGCAAACGCAAAAACAATTAAAGGCGTTGATAAAAGCATCAACGACATCGCAACCACCTTAAAGAAGCTGGCAAAGGCGACTAACGACCAAGTTGACACTGCGATCCAAAGTACTAATGCTCTCAGGAACAGAATTGAAAATCTGATGTGAGTGAATTTTGTTATTAAAATGTTATATATCCCATTTTATGAGGAAGTAAAAAATGTTATAGAAAGAAAAGTGATGAAAGTCGAAGAAGAAACTGAATCACAAATGTTATTTGATTGGGTTTGAGAAAGACTCTCAGTGAGAACCACAAGTAATGGAATAATCACAGTTCAGTCTTCTGTGGGTGTTGATTGTTTTGAGATTCTTTGATCAGGTAAAGGACAAAATCTTTCATTGCCTCAGGAGAGTATGACATTTTATACTCTTGGTATATAGTCCCGTTGTGGAATAAGAAAAGAGAAGGATAACCCTTCAAAAAAGACTGTTTGTGGCAGTACGAGTGGTACATATCGCAATCGAGTTGAGCGACAATAAAATCGGTGGAATCCTTCATTAAGAACCCGAGTTGTCTGAAACGGGGAATGACCTTTTTGCAGTGTGGGCACGTGGGGTCGTAAAATAGAACAAACACATATTTGTCTTCATTGGTGATTTTTTTGAACGTTTGTGAAGACAATTCAAGAAGTCCTTCTTTTGGTGCAGTCTCATCATCCGCTTCATCTACTTCTTTCAATAACTCGTCGATTTTTTTTGACGTTACAACAAATAAAAGCAGTACCAACAACACCATTCTACTTTTGTAGATTGATATGGGTGATGGGTATACAAATATAAGTATAGTTTAAACTAACAAACGTATAATAAAAATATAGTTAAAGAGCCAACGAAAGAAAACGAAAATAAAAAGAACCTTTTTAATAACTCGAAAATCAAACGATGAGCTCTGCCGAGTCGAACAAAATTTTTGAAACAATGGAGAGCCTTGCTTCTGTGGCGGACTGGGAGGTGGTTAAACAGAAAATAAAGGAGCAAAATGTCCCACTGAATTTGTTTAACGAAGTGATTTATATGTTGGGAGTCGACTTGGGACAGGCGTTTGGATACTCTATTATCAAAATCCTATTTGAGGGAAAAGATTTGAGGGATATTGCGGAGTTCATATACAACGACTTGTGTGACCAGGACGTGTACCACGTTTCTGAGTATCTTGGTGGATTACAAAACATCCCAGAAGTCGAAAACGACATTAATGGAAAGCCAGCAGAGAACTCCGCAATTTTTGTGTTTGGGAATGACGCTGATGGTGCGAAGAAAGTGGCGTATGTCCTCAACTATTTACATCACGAGTACTCTCTTGGGTGGGACGACTTAATCTTAGTGATAGCCACTGCGTTGTCGAATTGGGGATTGTTGGATCCATCAGATCGATTTCTCCAACTCTTCTTGGTTTCTGTTTCAAAGGAACTTACTGTAGATGAAGTTTGTTTTGTTGTATTACTGACTCAATGTGTTACAACAAAGAGAATATCAGTGATTCTTATTTTTTTAATATAACAATTTGTTACTCTAATCTGTCAACGAATCACAAAAAGTACTGAGAGAAAGACAATTGTGTTGTTCCAGAAAATCATCGAAGTGTGCGACGAAGAAGAAAAGAAGTTGTGGACACTTTATAACAAAAATATAGCACAGTTTTTCCAATTACTGACATCAAACTGGAATGACGTCGACAAAAAGCAATTTCTCAAAAACGGGCCAGTCACATGGAAATGGTCGAAAGATTCAATCAAACAACTCAACAAGTTCTTCAAGATCAAGTAGAGTTTTATACCATTTAGGTCTATTGCCATTGTTACCCTTCAAACAAAATATAACGACAAGCATAACAGATGAAAAACTTAAAATTTAAACCCGCACTCCGGGCAAAACTTTGTCCCCGAATTCTTTGCACCGCATTCTGGACAGAACTTAGGCAATTCGTCTTGTCCTTTTTCTTGTTTTGTAGTGGTAGAAGGTGTGTTGTCTGGTTGTGGGATGTCTTCAGTGTCTTTCTCTTCAACATTCTCCTTTTGGTCTTGTTGGTCATTTGTAATATCAACATCATCATCGTCGTGTTGATCTGCAAAAGATACCTCCGGCTCATCTTTTCTTATCTCTTCAAGAATTTGATCGGACTGCTTTTTCTTCCCAAGTTGAAGTCCTTTGTTTGATTTGTAAGCTTTTGGCTGCTTTTTCTTAAGGGGAGCAGCCTTCTTCGATGGCACCGCGTCGGGGACATAATCCTTTTTAACTTCATACTGTTCATTCACTTGAACGTTCTGAAGGTTCTGCATCATCGCTATTTTCTCTTTAATCATCTTCTCCTCACGAATTTCTTCCTCTCGTTGTTTTGCAATACGAGCAGCTTCCGCCTTTTTGGCTTCGAGTTGTTGGAGGTATATCTCTTCGTCCCGTGACTTCATCGCCAAGTTCGAACGGACAGTGTTTGTCGCAAGTTTCTCGGTAAAACCCCATTGGAGGTATTCATCTAAAATGAAGAGTGCTTCGAACATTCCTTGAGTCACCGTTTTGGCAGTGACCGTCATTTTCTGTTGAAGAGAGGAAATGACGGAATTCATGATTTGTGTGTCTTCGATGACATTAGAGGAAAGAGTAGTGATAACAACAATGTACACATCCTCACAAAGGCGGTACAGAAAACGAGTCCCATCTGCTTCAAAACATGAGTTCTGTGTTGTGCCACACATCCGGGTGAATGTGGCGTAAAGGCCTTCGATACGCGTACGTGACATTGGGACGTTCTGTCGACATACAATAACCTTTCCTGATCGTGTAAGTACACCAATAGACTGTATCTGTGTGTGAGGGAGTGTTGAATTTTTATAATCGAGGGAGTGAGGAATTAATAAGTAAACAAACCATGAAGGCTTTCAGAGGTATTTTGAGTTCCACACTTTTCTTCCAGTTGTGGATGATAACCAAATATCTTATTTTGCATCAAGACTATTCCTTTTGCTAGTTCATTGTGTAAAATAATGGGGTTTTTCTTTATGAAAAGAAGTGACAGACATTTTTGTATTTTTGAGCTACCACCAACTATAGTTTGATTATAATTATTTTATATTATTGGTATTGTTTCTTTTTATATACAATAAGTGTAATTCCCGATATGTCAAAGCTATTATTCTGTTTTGTAATCAAAATGTGATTATCATTTCTCTAATAAACAAGAAATAATAAAATAATATAATATGGTACTGGTTGCTGGGGAATTTTTTAATAGTTAAAATATAGAAAAAAGAATTATTAAAAAACCCTGAGAAGAGATAGAAAAAAAAAACACACCACCCAAAAAGAAGAGAAGTTAATAGTAAAAATGTAGTAAAGAGTGGTAAAAACGGAAGGGTTTGAAAACTAGAAAAGACTGTGAAAACTAAGAAACACCTTTATACCCGATGGTTTGTTGTTACCAAAGACGATGAGGAAGACGAGGACTGACATTTAGGCGACACGATTCAGACAAACACGACGCAGAAGAGGACACGTCTGCATGGGTTACGGTCGAATTGGGAAGCATAGGAAGGAGAGAGGAGGAAGAGGTAATGCTGGTGGATTGAACCACAGAAGAACATGGTTCACCTCCTTCCACCCTGATTTCTTTGGAAAGAAAGGGATGAGAGTATTCCACGCCAAGCCAAATTTGAAGTACTGCCCATCGATCAACGTCGAGGGATTGTGGGCACTTGTCGGTGCAAAGGTCCAGGAACAATACAAAAATGCGAAATTGGGCGAACAGGTCCCAGTTATTGACTGTGTTAAACATGGATACTTTAAGGTACTTGGGAAAGGGTTCTTACCAAAACAGCCAGTCATTGTCAGAGCAAGATTCTTCTCGAAAACAGCCCAGAAAAAAATCCAAGATGTCGGAGGTGCATGCGAACTTACTGCTTAATTGGGATTACTTTGATATGCTTTATTCTTTTCTTTTTTTTCTTCAACGCAATTGAAAGAGGTTCGTCTTTCTATTTTGATTGTTCGAATTGTTTTTGTATGAACTTAATTGTATTGATAATTGACCACCTTTATTTTGTTGTCTTGAGAACTTATTAAAACAGAAGACATCGCGGATATGGTTTGCTTCTTTAATACGAAAGAAAAGGGACTGAATGGTAGGACGAGCAAAATGATGTGATTCGAATGAAAGTGCTTGTGGTGGGGGGGCCTGCAAGTGGGAAGACTAGTATGATCCACCAATTCTGTGATGGGGCGTTTGAAGAGATCTACCAACCCACTATTGGTGTTGAATTTAGTAGTAAGTTTGTGACATATGAAGGAAGGCAAGTTGAGATCCGTTTAGTTTGTTGTTGATCCATATTTTGGTGTTGATGAGGTGTTGTACCAATACTAATATAGTAGTGGGACGTTGCGGGACAGGACTACTATGCAGCAATGACACGGGTTTACTTCTCTGGTGCCATCTCTGCACTTGTTGTTTGTGACATCACATCCAAAGATTCGATTGAAGCAGTAGTGAAGTGGAAAGCAAACATCGACGACAGAGTTCTTTTCAACGAGCAAAAAATCCCCGTTATCCTTGTTGGTAACAAATCCGATTTACTCAACGAGAAGGAATTGACCAATGTTGAGAATCAATTGAAAGAGATCAAAGAGAACGAACAGTTCACGGGCGTGGAGTTGATATCGGCAAAGACTTCAAAAAACATCGACACGTGTATGGAAAAGATCACAAAGGCTGTTATGACTCAATTCGGCGATTTCTTGGTTCAAAAACAAACGCCGAAAGTCCAAAGCAACCAACTCGAGTTTAAAAAGGTGGACAAAACCAATGGGTGTTGCCAATAGTATTTTATTGTTAAAATTTTTAAGTTGTATTGTGCTAATTAGTTAAATTGACGTTTTTGAACAATTGTACAATAAAATGAGAATATTTGATACTTGCCCGAGATTGAAAAAACGGAACGAAACTTTAGAAGAGAGCAAAATTTTGAGAAGAAAATTGATGAACAACTGCCAGAACAACAAAGAAGATCAGAACAGCGCCGATAAGAAAAGGATAACCATCGTTGGTGACGTTGGGGTTGGAAAAACAGCGATTGTAAGGAGGTTTTCTAACAATTTTTTTGAAAACATCTATGAGCCAACAATAGGGGCTAATTACACAAGCAAAGTGGTTTATAATAATGGAAAAAACGTACGCCTGCAGATATGGGACTGTGCAGGAAAGGAAGTGTTCAAAACACTTGTAGAGACATATGTTGTGAACAGCGACGCGATATTGATTATGTTTGATGACGAATTCTCGTTTCAACACTCAAAAGAAAGGCTGGTGGAGATTAGAAACAAAACAAAAGGGGGGATTGTGTTTCTTGTACAAAATAAATGCGACAAAAAAAGCAGCCCGTTTGTTTTACATTTTATGGTATTAATAATGTTTTTAATCATACAATTTCGAAAAAGTAAATGTTTTAGAAAAAACATCTGATTTTGCATCAAAATAGAAAATAAAAATACAATAATGAAATGACATTGAGAGAACTTTCAGCAAAAGCGGAAAAATACGCGGCTAAAAAAGAGGTCTTTTTCGCAAAGGTTAGTGCGTTGAAAGACTGTGGCGTCACAGAATTGTTTGAAAAAGCCGTGTCGCGTTGCTACACGAACGATATGCGCGAGCAGATAAACAAAAGTAAAGAAGAGGAACAACGCGAGCTGACAGTTCCCCCTTCGAAGCGGTGGAACTGCTTTTACATTCCATGTGTAAGTTGGTAAAATGAAAAAGAGAAGTCAAAACACCTTTTTTTTAGATTTGTTTTGTCATTTTCTAAAATAGATTTTTGTTCAAAAAAAATGAAAAAAACAAATGTCCAAAACTGCCGAAAGTAAACGAAAACACCAAAACAATTCAATCGCCTTTGCGGAGCAACTGGACGTGAACGAACACGCCCAACGCCTTCGTGAAAATTCCCTTTTTCTATCAGTTCCGGTTACAGACAGAACTAGAAACCAGTCTCTCCCTCCAAACGCATCAGATCTTCGACATTGCAAATCCAGTTCTCGCCTTTCCATTTTCAACTTTAGGTTTAAAGAGGCATCCTTAGATCTCGATGGCTTTCCAAATTCAATTAACAACATTCCAACTACTGTGGCCTTTTTTAAAACGTTTATCAAAAACAATCCAACAACTTCCATCACTTCTCTGAATTTTTCTAAAAACCGACTCTCTTCCCTTTCACTACCAAACTTGCCTTGTTTGAAACAATTGGATTTGTCACATAATATGTTCAAAAAGGTTCCTAACAGCATTTTGCAATTCACTCAACTCACTAAAATTGACTTGTCGTTCAACCAAATCAAGTCGCTCGGTGCTTTGAAAAGCCACCCAACACTCAAATACATCGATATTCAAAATAACAACGTGAGGAGACTCGTTTTCGACCACTACGAAAACGCACTAAACTTGACTCACCTCGACATCACAGACAATTATATCGACGCACCAGTCGACTCAACACAAACTTTTTTGTATTCATTCCCTTCGGTGTACAACCAAAAGAATCCAACGCTAATAGTCCCCTATCTATTTCTTGGAGCTGTCAACGCTACAAAGGATCCGGCATTTCTGAAGACGATTGGAATTGCAGCAATACTGTCACTTGGTAAAAAACCATTTGTCGAGTCTGATATTCAAAATCTGTTTATCCCTATCGACGACTCACCATCGACAGACTTATTGAAAATAGTAAGGGAGTGCATAACATTTATTAACGATTTTGTGATAAAAAAGAAGGGAGTGTTAGTCCATTGCGAATTTGGGATCAGTCGGAGTGCAAGTGTTATTATTGCGTATTTGATGAAGAAGAATAAAATGACTTACAAAGAAGCACTCAAGTTTGTAACGAACAAGCGCATGTGTGTCTTACCCAACAAAGGGTTTGAAACGCAACTTGGGCAGTTCGAAAAAGAACAATTTATTTTTACTGAAATTAAAAAGAAAAAGTGAAACAGCCAAGCAATTCAATCCATTCTATTTAATAACATTTTGATATTCTTTTTTTTGTTATTTTTTTGTTATTAAAAATGGTATTGTTGAAGACAAACTCGAAAATGAATTAGGGATGAGCAAACAGGAGGAAAGCGCAATGGACCACATGACCTTTTGCACGTCATCACTTCAGGCTTTGATGAGAGTAGTCCGCCAAAAGACGGAGAGGAAAGACGGAGAAATAGAAAGGTTGGAGAAAGAGGCGAGGCGAGATGTAATCGAAGGGTTACAAGTGATGGAAGCATTGATCAAGCAAATGAGTGAGTTCACGAAAGAGTCTGTGGAACAACAAGAACAACAATTTGCGTTGATTAGGAGTGAGAACGCACTTTTGCAAAAGAAAGTGGAGGTGTGTGGGAAGGAGATTGAATTGCTTAAAACGGAACAACAACACTTTGAACTTGAAAAAAACACGTTGTTTGAATCATACGAAGAAAGGATGGCTCAACTTCACATGGAAATCACTAACAAAAACAAAGAGATCGACCGAATAGAGAACGAAATTCTTGGGGTTGTGAACCAAAAGACAATTTCAGAAGATTTCAGAGGAAACACAAAAGAAGAAGGAGATGCGGGAAAGCAGATTGAAATTGCTGACTTGCGAAATCGCATTGAAACGTTGAAGAAAGAAGTTGACAACTTGAAAGGACAAGCAGAAGTAAATGCACAGACCAATGATGTGATGTGGGTGACAATAATGAAAGGACGCAACGAAAATTCGATCTTAAAAACACTCATTTTGGAGCATCAAAAGGGGCGCGTGATGAAGGAAATAAAAATGTTTGATGATGCGGTGTTGATGTGCGATTATAGGAAAATCTGTTTGTGGACCAAAATGACGAATTTTGAGCAAATAGGAAAGAGTGAGAACGATGGAGATGAGAAAACGTGGAGCGTTGTAAAAGGACGCAAAAACGTGTTGTGTTTGAAAATTACACAAATAGGGAGTGTTTTTGGGTATTTTCACAGTGGTGAACATCCGCACGTCGATAAGTGGAGTATTCCACAAACAACTGACTTTGTTTTTTCGCTTAAAAACTTATTCAATAAACCGCCCGTCATCTTCAAGAAAAACATTAATGGAAAGTTGGAAGAGTTAAAATCAAATGATGTGTGTTTACCAATTATTGTCGAAGAGATGGATTCCCCGTGTCTTGCTGCTCTAATTTTTCAGGCATCACCATGATTGCTATGATACCCAATTGATTTCTTCTTTTGATTTTTAATAAGAAATGAATGCCATTTAATAATAAATCAAATGGATGACACATCTAACGCACAAAACAATCAATTTTATAATACATATTATGCTTCAACCAATTTCACTGTCTTTTTAAGACAATATTCACAACCAATGTAACACTCGGAAACAAGATACGCCCAAAACTTTATTGTTGACACCCCACTGTGGATATGAGTCGAAAATACAACTTTAATAGGAGATGCTGAGAAGGGTATGTTCAACACTTTTTTGTGAAACGCGACGGTAGTCCCCTCTATTTCTACAAATAGAAAAAAACGTTCGAGGGTGTTCTTTCCAGTATAAGGGGTGTGAACAGGTACATCAGAATACTCCACTGGAATTTCTTGGGTTCCTACTAATTTGTTTGTCTCTTTGTCGAAAAATTGTGTGTATTCGAAAAATATAGGAGGACGACGTATAATTATTTCGACATCAACAACATAATTTAAGGTGTCAGTTGGAACAAGTCGGTAGATGTCCACGTTCGACATGTCGACTTCCAAATTACCTGGAAAGAACATCAAGTAGTTTTTCCAGAGCGCAAGTTGTGTGGAAGATGAACAAATTTCTTGTAGCTTTTGTTGTCGTTCGAAAGGTTGAAGAGTGGACAGAGATACTGTTGTTATCTTCTTCATTAATGGAATTTGGTTTGTCTCGAAGTCTGGAAGTTGAAAAAAATCAGTGTGTGGAGTACACGCTTGGTAAATCATTTGACCAACACGAACCGCAAGAACAACCGCATCCAAGTTTTGTCGCTCATAAAAGTAATCAACAATTTCAAGAGCTTCCGATTGGAATAAAGGAATGACGCGAGCCAAATTTTCTTCCATATATCTTGGCATTTTTGTGCGTGTCAAATAACAGAGGATCATCACATAAGCTTTAAAAGAGCGTTTTTCGAGGTCTTGAGGAATGCGGTAAAAGGAGTCTTGTGGGAGTTGAGCAAGTAAAATTGAAAGTGCGAGTTCATCTTCCGATTCGATATCGATGCCACGCGTTATAACATTTGAGTGACATAAATAATTGAGCAGATCTTGTAATGAAACATAGTTTGTCAAAGACATGTCTAATACTTCTTTGACGTTGTGTTGTTTGTAAGGCCGTTCTCTTGTGATGAGTTGATATTTTTTTCTTCAAGAAGAAATAGAAACAAACAAAAAGAAGTACAACACAACAACAAGAAGTGGGAAGACAAGAAAGATAATTGTGTTGTAAGCCATGAATATGAAGTACATTGGGTTTGAATATGGGGATAAAAAGAATGGAAGTGCAATAACATTTTGTGATGGTTGCTCGAACTGCTTTTTCCATTGAGTAAATGACTCTTCGTTTTTAATGAGAGCAAATGCCGCTGTCTGTTGCATATAATTTCGATGATGAGTCGGAGTCATTTTACCGAGCATGTATTTGATTGTGTTTTCGTAATATCGCTGCTCAACAGAAAGGAGATTTGATGATGTTGTTAAATTCAACACTGTAAATGGGTTGTATGGGAACCCGGACGGAGTAGAGTAAACGATGCGCCACTTGTTGAATACGAAAGTGACGTATAACATGAAAGCGAAAAAGATGAGCTGCCTGTTATTTGTGTTGCAAGAAAAAGAAACAAACAAAAACAAAACGCTTCAATGTCATTGGCTTCTTCCAGTTTGGTAGTGCTTGCTTTGTGCACTTACGACATTTGCACGGGAAGCTTCGACCTTTCTTTAAATAAAATGCGATAAAGCACAGAGACATGATAACGGAAATTGTCATGGTTAAGTATGACGCGTAGACAATTGAAAGCTGTGTGTCATAGTAGTATGGCACATTCATTTTTGAGCTTTCTAGTTTTGATTTTGTCAGCAGGAGATTAGTTCTTTTTGTTATTATGAAATTAATGTTTTTATTTTCGAAGGTTATTTCATTTGTTGATACACTTGTTTGTTCAATAATAAACAACTTACCAAAAAACTAGAATTTGGTTGTATTGTTATAAACTATATATATGAAAAAAACATATGTGTTTGATATCGACGGTACTTTGAAAATACCAAAAGAAAAAGAAGCGACGGAAGCAGTCAAAAACGCTTTGAAAAAAGAAGTGGAACAACGAAATGAAATTGTTATTGCCACCGGCAGACCACTGAAGACAGCGCTTTGGTTCACCGACTCGTTGGACATTCTTCCCATCACAATACTCACGTCGAATGGAAATTTGACTGTCAGAAAATCAATAGATACGACAGAGGTATTGTACTATTCGCCACTCAATAAAGAAAAGTGCATTACTGTCGTTCGTGAAATGGGTAGACTCGGGGTTCAGGCGTTTTTGGTATTGTGCAATGCACAAAATATTTTGACAGGCAAAACGGACGATAACGTTCGAGTAAGAGATTACATCAGTGCTTTGGACAACAAGGCTAATACTACAGAAAAAGCAAATGAAGGTGAACCGTCAACACTGACCTTGTCGTCCCAAGATACAGACATTTCCTACGTGCCAGTCGACCCAGAAAAAGTGAAAGAAATGCTTGACTACGATATTCTGAACATTCATGTACACCCAAATACAAACGAACAAATGAATCTTGTTATCGAAACTCTCAAACTATTTGATTCAGATGACTTAAAAATGGTTCGGTCAAGTGATACAATCGTCGATATCAACGACCCCAAAAACAGTAAAGGGACGTGCCTTGAAAAGTTGGGGTTTGGAGGATTCTGTGTCTATATGGGCGACTCAGAAAACGATATTCCTGGAATTGAGTGGGCTGTAAAAAAAAGTGGTGTGGGGGTTGCAATGGGAAACGCTTTTGATTCGGTAAAGGAAAAGGCAAACTTTGTGACAAAGAGTGTTGACGAAGACGGAGTTGTTTTTGCATTAGACTATGTCAACCATTCCTTTAAGTAAATTGGTGTGAGAGTTTTTATTCTATTCTCATTTCATGTTATTTCATTAACTCGAATTCCAAAACAAATAAATTATATCTTTTTAAATAAACATTAGTATATAATATGGTAATCTTTATATTTTTAAATTTATTTAATTTTTACATAACTTTTTGTTTTATGTTTTTATTTAAAATGTTACAGCTACAATTGGTTATTATAATACTTGTATTATATATTATAGTTATTGTACCTAATTTAATAAAGACAAGAGTATCTCGAAAATATATCAATATAATAAAGAATATTCTGTTATAATTTAATAAAAAACAATAACCCAAAACTGAAGAACTGTCTTGTTTTTTATTATAAAACAGGTAATATAATTGATAAAACAGTAGTACTAATAGGGTTTAACAAATTGTGCGCAAAAAAAAGCTAAAATGGGAATTGGCTATAATGGTATAACAGCGGAAAAAAACGGCATGGAAAGGGAAAAAAATTGGATAAAACAGTTTTTGGTATTTGTACTTTCCACAATGAACGAAGAACTGAAAAACAAAATTGTTGATGGAGCAAGGTGGGGCTGTTTTATCGTCAGTAAAGTACGTTGAAGACTATGAGAACATTGGAGACACGTCTTCTTCCGAAGAGGAAGTGCTGCACGAGCCAACTATAATGGATGCGCTCCCGTTCACAGGTCTGAAAGGTATTTCGTTAATAAGTGTCTTTTCATTGACACTGAATGTAATGGTTTGCATATTTATATTTCACGACATTAAGCTAAGAAATAGATTGGGACTGGTGTTTTTGGAATGCCGTTGGCATATCGTGAAGCGGGGCTTATTCTTTCGTTGGGGCTGTTACTTGTGTTCTACGTTTTAACATCATTTTCAGCTGTATACATCTTGGAATCGATATCGAGAGTCGGCACGTACTTGAAAAGAAATGACAAGGATAGTGTTGGTGTTCGACACACAAAGGTCGATGTGTATGACAGCTACGGATACACATCTTTAGCGTCTCACACTTCAGGAAAGGTGTTTAAAGCAATTATCAACGTAATGATGGTAGTCAACTGCTATGGGGTTTTGTGGAGTTTTGTTGGGACGTCTGTGAATTCTATCGGGACTATGTTTTGGTCGATTTACGAAGAACCTCTTCATTGCCCAGTACAAAACCACTTTTCATTGGACTGGCAGTGCCAACTCACGTATTACGGGTCTGAAGCATTGTTTGCGCTTCTTGTTGTTCCCCTTTCCTTTATGAAATTGGCTTCGCAGACCGTTGTGCAGTTTCTCATGATGAGCTATTGCGTCCTCGTTTTTTGCTTGATGGTGGTGACTTGTGTAGTGTCGTTGATAATGGTCGGGCCATTATCTCCAGTTGCACTCTTTGAGTTTTCAGGTTTTGGTACTGTATTTTCACACACTGCATTTGCGCTCGTGTGCCACATCAGTATTCCCGATATCATTGCCCCAGCAGAGAAGAAAGGGAAAACACACATCCCAATTATCACCTCGATCTTTGTTGCTTCACTCTTTTATGGATTGATAGGTGCTGTGTGTGCTTCGACTTTTGGAGGAACAGTGACGACTCCAGTCACATTGAATTGGGGATCATATACTGGTATTGGCTCGGGTTGGGACAAGGGAAGTACACAGTGGTATGCCTATATCATTCGTTATTTGATTTTGGCGTTCCCCCTTGTGAATTTGACGAGCTCATTCCCAATAGTTGCGCAAACAGTTGCTGGAAATATCTGCTCAATGTTCACAAAAGAATTTTTGGAGACGAAGAAAGGGAAGGTTGTGAGATACGTAGCATTGATCACATCGATTATTGTCCCTTTCATTCTTGGTGGCATCTCATCGTCACTTGAAATGATTTTCAACTTGACAGGTCTGGTGTCGTTTGTACTCGTCTTTTTGGTTCCATGTCTTTACCAATTAATGTCGATTAAAATGTTCCACAGCCTCAAGTTTTATAGGTGCTCCTGTTGGTCATACTTCCCTAAAACGCCGTTCTCAAGCATTTTGTCAGCACCTATCATTGTACTTGTGGTATTTGCTATTTCATTTGTCTTGTTCATTGTGTCCATTATCGTACTTGTTTTTGACACAATTAGTAAATTTGGAGGAGATTCATCTGCATTTTCTTCATCTTCATTGTCTTCTGGTTCATTTTAAGATCTGATTGATTTATTGTTATGCTATGCTTTTGGCATTTTACTTTTATTATACGTATTTAACATTATAGTTATATATTAATATTATTTTTATAATAATTAGAATTATAAAAACTTAAATAAATAGTCGAGTTACAAAGATGGAGGATATTGCTAAATCTGACGAGTACGCAGAAAAGATTCGAAAGCTAGAAGAGAAATGGAAGTTCCGTAAAATTCCACTCCCAACAGATGATCGGTTGATTATGTTGCGTTTAAGAGAAATTGGGGAACCCATCAAATTGTTTTCGGAGAGTTTTGAAGACCGTCGCGAGAGACTTAGAAATTCACTTACGAAGGTTGGCTCCGACCAGGGGTTCCCACAGTGCGCCTTTCAGGTCAAAAAAGATGAGGAAAGGAAAACTGAACTTCATTACACCGAGGGATGTGAAGAACTTTTGGAGGTGAGGCGGTGGATTTTAGTCGACTCAATACTCAGGGCATCCAATAGACACACCGAATTGAAACAAAAGTATTGTTTGGACAATCCAAAAGAACAACTAGGGGTGGATTTCGGACATGTGAACAATAAATACAAAGAAAAGTATCGAGTTGTCTCGTCATTTGTAGCAGATGATCTTCGTGTTTTAAAATGCGATGCGAGGGGAAGTGATGTTATTACAGGAGGGGGTGACGGTCATGTTAGACTTTTTGATGTGGAAAACGGACAACTTAAAAAAGACTTTGCCACTCCATCACAAATATATTCGTTGCAATACAGCCCTGATATTGAGTCTCCGATTGAAGTTGTGTCTGGAGGACAAGATGGGTGCATTAGAATTTTCATGAAAAACACGGGTGAACCGTTGATACTCAAAGCACATGAAGACCGAGTGAACTCTCTGAATTTTCATCCCTCAGGAAGATTTTTACTGAGCGCATCACACGACTCATTAATCAAAATGTGGGACTTAGAAATTGGTGCATGTGTGCTGACACAGACAGGTCATGTGAAACCAGTGAGAAGCGTCGTTTGGCAACAAGATGGTGGGGTATGTGTGAGTGGTGGAGATGACAAGTATATCAGTATGTGGGATATACGGAGTGGGAAACGTGTTTTGAAATTTGAAGGACACTCAGGCAGCGTCACATCGTTAGATTGGCACTGTGATGGAATGGTTTTAGCATCCTCATCTGAGGACAACACTGTTAAACTATGGGATGTGAGAATGAAAAAGTGTGGGTTCACAATACCGGCACACAACAATATTGTGATGGCCACAAAATTCAAAAGTGATGGGAATTATTTGTTGACATCATGTTTTGACCACTCTGTCAAATTGTTTGATGTGAGGAACTGGGAATGGAAAGAAGTAGAAAGGTTTGAAGCCCATTCCAAAGCAGTCACAGATATCGCGTGGATCAACAATGGTTTTGTTTCGTGTGGACTTGACAAAACACTGAAAGTTTATTTGAATACTGATTGATGTGTTATTTATTGTTGTGTGAGTAAAAATAACAACGAAATTAAAAATAAAGCTAGTTCTTCTTTTGTTTGGATATCATTTTGAGGAGTCTCAAACGCTCTTGTTTGCAATCACCTGAAATTGGAGAGTTTAGATAGCATTTATAGCAATCAGAAATGAGACAAAGCATAAAGTCTCGCATTTGAAAGTCTGGTACAACGTATCCCTCTTTTGGTAACAAAGTATCAACAAAACAGGCAGTGCCTTTTTGATAAACTCGGAACGCGTACCCATTCAAATCCTTCCATACTATAATTGCTAATTCATCAAGACCGATATTGTCGAGTTGTAAAGGGTGGTCAGTATTATCAAGATAGAGAAGGGTAACCTTTGGGGTCGAGAAAAATATGCTTCTGTCTTGTTTCCCCATTAAAGCAGATACAAAGAAACCAGCCTCGCACCAATCGTGTTGTGTATAAAAATAATAATCGGTCTGTGACAGTTGCGAAGCGATTGAGGAGAAACGTCCCTCCGATTTGATCTTTGTTGCCGATGAAAATGTCATCATGAACTTGTCGAAGTTGGCGGAGTACATCGAATCGTTTGCAACATTTGCACAATTGTCTGGTGTAACGCAACGAACAGCAACTTCAAAAGAAGTTGGGGAATTCAGTTCATCGATTTTCCATATTAGAGAATTGATTCCTCCTTTGTCAATTGGTTTAAACTTGATGTGTGAAGACGAGATCTCAAGACTTGCAGAAATCAAAGACAAGTTGTATGTGCCATTTTTCATGAAAAACTTTTTGTCTAACACTGCACGACTTTCCCCTTCTTTTGTCTTCAAAGTACAGATTAAGGCGGTGTTCTCCTTGTAAAATTCGAAAGCAAATTCTGGAGGGACTAAGGCACCTTTTTTCAAGTCGACGATGGAGAGCAAAGCATAACCTATACATGAATCAAAACCAATAAAGACCTCGGCATCGCGCATAAAAGTCGACCATGGCATGTTTGGTTGAAAGACAGTTGGCAGAGTAACAATCCCATCTTTTTGTTTATAATTCTTGGTAATTATTTCATAAGATGGGTTGTCCCCTTTAACAGGGATATATCCCCACACACGAGTTGGTTGGTCTAAAAATAATTTTTCATTGAAGAGGTTATCGCAGATATTCGAAGGTTTCACTGTTGGAGTCACCAATTTTTTGTCGATTTTTAAATTCGAAAGAGAGACTTCCTTGTGAACGGTGAGTAGACTCTGCGATTTGGAAAACTTCTTGTCAAGTTTTCGTTTCTGAGAGACGTTGAGAAGATTTTTAAAAGTTGAATCAATTTTAGATAAATCGTCTTCCAAATATGAGTCCAAAATTTCTTTGTAAGTTGGGCACTTGTATTGTAGACGAAGACTTGATGGTCGTTTCGACTCCTTTCCTAAATCAATGACAGTAATGAATTCATGAATTGCTTGATAATATGTGTCGTGAGCCAAAATAGACTTATCAATGTATTTCTTTGGAATGTCGTTGATCTTCTTTAAAAAGGTATCATTATCTTTCTTCTGAGAATCAATTTCTTGTTTGAGCGCAGCAATTTTTTGGGGGTCACACGGTCGTTTTGGCGCACAGACTGGTTTTGCACCAGGAGCAAAAGATGCTGCATGTGAGTTGATGAAAGTGGTTGTTTCGTTGACTTTCGTGGTTACATTAGAGTAAATGGCGTACGATTCTTCGTATTTCTTTTTCTTTGTTAATAAATCTTCGCGCTTCTGGTTGAAAATTTTGGACAGTGTGTTGTAGATCTCCTTGTAACACTCAAGCCCCAACTGCTCTATACGGAATTTTTCTTTCTCATACTTTTCCGAGTTTCGTAGAAGCTCGATTTTCTTTGAGCGCTCAACGTACTGTGCAAGCTGCTGATACAACTCGGTAGTGGACATCCCAATTTGCAAAAATTAAAGTTCACAGTTTTTCGTTATTATAAATATTTATCAATTGTCTTTGAATCTAATAATTTTAATTACCATAAATTATTTTAATTCGAAAAGCTATTGTAAATAGACAAAAAATGATTACTTCAAATGGAATAATAGAATTTTTATTATTTTCTTTTTGTATTGTTTTGTTTCTAAAATACTTACTTGCAATCTATTTATATAAAATACAATCCCCTTTTTTTACTTTTAAAATTAAAAAAAAATTAAAGGAATATTCCAAGTAAAAACAGGAAATAAAATAAAGCCATTTCATTGATAGAAATAAAATTCGAAATTAAATGCTGTTTTTCTCAGTTTGCTATTCATTTACAAATTATAAAACGACGAAAAAGCACAAATCACCAAACACCATCTGTAAAATAAATTGACTTCAATTGACACTTCACATAAAACACAACAAAAAGTCAGTTTAACACAAGAGAGCTAATTTGCTGCATCAAATTGTCACCGCTGACCATTTCAGTCGTTGCATACATAATCCGCTTTCCACTTTTTTTGGCATAGTTCGAAATGTTCGAAAACTCAGTATACGAACCGCCTCCAACAACAAAAACGGTGATGTCATCTGACTTCTCGTTTTTGTTTTGCACTTCTGTCTCAGAATCTTCTGGATCAAACGTTGCGATATCTTCGTTAAGGGTTTTTCCATTTGCAATTGCTTCCACGAGGAGCGTTGCGGGAACCTTTTTATCAGACGGGAGTAACTTTGCGACGGTTCCAATAACAGTTCCAACAACTTTTGATATCGATAGCCGTGCGGGATTGTCCTTCTTCGAAAGACGAAGAAACTCTTGTTTTTCTTTCAATTTTTCGAAAATTGGCTTTTCTTTTGTTTCAATATTTTTCTCAGAGAGGAGTTTTTCAAATTCGGTCACATCAAAAGCGTTGAGAAAACAAATGTAATAAAGTCTCAACAAGTCTCTTGTGTTTGTGAGTTTCTTAGCAAACTCAATGAGCGCCGAATTTTCAATTTTTGATTTCGACATAATATTGTCTTCAAAAGAAAAAAGTAAGTCGAGTTGTCGACTTTGAACACTGTTGAGAACTTGTCGTGCTAAGTTCGTTTGTAAGTCGATCTCTTCTTCAATTTGCTTTGCTTTCATATACATCATCTCATTCATCCCACCATTTCTTTCAAAAAAATCTGTAGTTGACAATTTTATTTCTTCTTTTAAAGTTTCAAGAGTTTTTGTTTCTTTGATGATTCGATCTGCAACATCACTTATAATACCCGACTTCGTCTCTTTAAAAATGTCCGACTCCCTGTTTACATATTGCCATTTATCATTAATTTTAATTTTAGTGCCAACACAGTCACACGTTTCTTTCACTAATGCTTCATATGACCAACCATGTATAAGTCCCGCAGACATGTCATAATTTCTGTTTGTTAAAATAAGCATCTCTCGATTGTGCTTTTTCTTCAAAAAGTACTCCGGGTTCTCTTTTTTAAAGCTGATAATGCATGATGTTAGTTCCTTTGCAATAAAATGTTCCATTGTGCCGCTACGCGCTTTGATAAGTGGAATTTGTCTCGATGTGTAAATTGATGAAAAAAGGGAGTCTACTAGATATCTGACTACACGTGTCCCCAACACGTTGGAAATATCAGAAGTGTTATATACACTATATGAGTTTTTCATTTCAAGCGAAAGTATTGTTGGTTCTAACATCTGAAAGTTACAAAAGCAGTTACAAATTCTTTCAATGGAAGTGATTGATGAAAATTTTGAGGACTTAGTAAAAAAATTGAGTTGATTCTTTGAGAGGGAATTTGTGAACAATAAGGTAAAAGTATGATACATATGATTTTGTAAATCATTCACAATTTTTTCTATGTTAGTTTTTGTTGGTTGGACAAAGTATATTGCATCCACATCACTAATTTGCTGCCTTTCCACTTCAATGTTTCTATACGTTAGCGTATACCAATAAAAAATAACAAACAATAACATTGTTATATGGCATTTGCGTAAATCAGCAACGACAAAATACATTGAAAGAAGTTGAGAGCAAAAATCGTCAAAAACAAGGACCCGCCATTTATCATTCGAAAGAAACCGAACCAAATTTTCTTGTTGCTTCCCTTTCAAACTATAAACTCCATTTAAATTCATCACCAATTCTTTTTTTAAGTTTTTTTTTCAAAATATTATTTTAAAAAAGTAGTAGTATATAAATTATGTGGATTTATGACAATAACATTTTTTATCTATATTTTCTAATAATTTAACTAAAATCGTGAGGGACGCGAATCTGAAAATCTTTTAGTAGTATATAAATTATGTGTATTTATGACAATAACATTTTTTATCTATATTTTATAATATTTTAACTAAACGCAAAGCTCACTATTGAATTTAATTATAGATCAATATTTATAGTAAATTTATATTAATGTAGTAATCTAAGTTTTATAGTAAATTTATATTAATGTAATTTTTTATCTTCCTTAAAATGGTTAAAGTTTTATATAATGGTTTAGAAATCGAAAACATAGAAGATAAGATTATTATTAAAACATTAAGAAATAAAGTATATAACTTTTCTACAAAAGAAGGAAAATATTCTTACACATTTCCAACACCATTTCTACAAAAATATAAAACATTATATTATAATTATTCTAATAAAGAATATATAGAAATGTTGTTAACAAGTGTATTGTGGATCTAAAGATTCTAACATCTAGCTTTATATTTAAATGTTAATAAGTTTATTTATATCTATATTATTTGTGTTTAGATAATACTCTAATATTGGTATTATTTTTGTAGTAATATTATCAATTAATTAATCTTTTTCCAAATTTCCAAATTTTCAAGTTTATTTTTAATATATTCAATATCTTCATTGTATTTATCTTCTGATTTCTTTACTTTGTAATCAAGATCACTTTTAGTTATTCTGGTTTGCTTCTTAATTAACGTTTGTTTTCCTTTAATTTTACAAAACACATAACCATTAATATAAATTGTAGCATTTAAATCTTTTGTATTGATTGAGTTAACTTCTGGATTATTATTAATATATCTATTGATTTCTTTGTTACATTGTTTTAACATATCTATTACTTTTAAATTGTATTTGTTTATTATCTTCTGTAAAGCTATAATATGTTTAGAAGTAATATCGGATAAAGTTTCAGCCTTTGGCATGACGCTTTGCTCACCACATCTAAAAGATGTGTCGATGCTTCGCTCAGCCTTCGGCATAAGTTTCTCGTCAATATAATATTCATCTTCACTCTCATTTGAAGAATAATACATACCAAATGCTGTTTTTGGTGTTGCATCGGAGATTCCGCTTCGCGGTGGAGCTTTGCTAGAACTTTGTGTCGCTTCTCTTACTTTAATAATTTCAGAAGTATCCATTTGTTTTAATTGGTCCGTCTTTGTAGTTTGATTTGTTTTGTCTGAAGATAACAAATTTTTGAAAAATGTTTTTAATGAATTTGATTTTGATTGAGAAGTATTGAACTTTGCTGCGTCTGAGACGCCACTACGTGTTACGACTTCGTTATCTGTACTCATTTATATTAAGATAAAAATAAAAATATATTATTTATACATTACTACAGTATGTGAGAATAGTATGTGAGAATGAGAAAACCCTGTGGATTCAACAAAAGTTACAATTGTGTAACTTTTATGTAATAAAATTATTATTTTTTTATTTCAAAAAATTCAAAAAGATCAAATAAAAAAATCACTTATTTACAGTTCATTTTCTCTTTCAATTTGTTTGGAAACCTACAAAGCAGCTTTCAGAGTGTGAACAGCCAGCCAGCACTTACCAACTAATTGACTCAGACCTCACGCTAAAGAATCCCAGGAATACTGGACAAATCAGCCATAGCAGCTAGACGATTCAAAGCAGGCAACGTTTAATTTAAGAGTTTTTGCGAGCAAGTTCTACAAGTTAATATCTCAATAACGAAAGAAAGTTTAACAAACGAATATTTTCTATTGGAAGGACTTATGATAGTTCAGACATATGTTGATTCAAACAGTGACCATTCTGACCTGTGATAGGAAACAGTAATGTGAACTGGGCGATACAACTGATTAAAAAGATAAAAATCAATCGATTAAATTCTCAACCCCATTTTTAGTTCTTTTTGAGATTTTTTTGGTCGTCTTTTTCTTCACAACTTTACATACAACATCCCGTTCTTTTCTTTTTAACGGCTTGCAAACAGACTGACACGAATAACCCTCAAAACACATTGAAAGCTTTCGAACTGCAGATATTTTCAAGCTTTTGGTTTTGACGCATTCAATTGAGTATAACTGTGGTATACTTAACAGTTTCGGTATTTCTGCTGTTACTCTGCGTGACACTCCAATATCCACATACTCAACCCTCATACCACTATCAACAATTCTGAAATCAATACCAACTTGCCTAAAAGCCTGCGTGCACACATCCGGAGTGGTTGTTTGGAAATAAGACTTCAGAATTGAGTTGAGGTATTTGGCAAACTTTTTTTCTAAGTCCTCTCCATCACCGAATTCAACAATTTTAGTTTCATTTGGTATTTCGTTGCGATCTTCTGATTGGTTGTCATCCACCATCCTTTCGTTGACAGTCGTACCAGCCTTCTTTTTAAATGGTGATATCGCTTCTTGTGGATTTGCCAGCACTTCCTGAAACATTTCCTTAAACTGTTGAGGTATTATTGGTTCTTCAATGGGATCTTGGTTTCCAATCACATCATCTGACTCTTCTTTTTCTTCAACGTCTTCACTTTCTGTCGTTGTTGTTTCTTCCTCGCCAACTCTATCTTTAATTTTTATGACATCTCTGAACTTAGCATACAACGAATTCAGTCTTCTTTTTTGGGCTGCAAACACCCCAACATCTAATGGTTGTGTTAAATGTGAGGTGTGAGGCACCAAACATACGATTTCACAGTTCACATTGATGATTTTCTCATTGACTTGGACATTCGACTTGAGCAGCAACCTCACATCTTCGATTGAGTGGCACGTGCACTGATCAAATATCAGAACGGCCTTATCAATATAACCAGTCTTAATTCTCATGTCGACAATATAAGGTACTACAACGTCGTTGATGTATTGTATAAATAAGTCACTGTTGATAAAACCATTTTTGCTATAACTGACGATGTTTCCCGTTTCCATCCAACCCAATTTCAAGAATTCAACTGCAACTCTTTTGTATTTTGTTACAATCATACAAGGAAGAGGTTGTGAGGGGGTAATAGTGCAAACGACAGTGGATCGAGCAATGTCACGTTCGACTCCATATTTCATTTTACTGTCTGTGGAAAAACCAGCAGTGAATACTCCCTTCACCATTTGCCTGTCTGGCCATGGCTGATACCCTGACTCATCCAAATTCAAAATAAATGGTGATGGGATGCCATTTAAAAAAAGTGGCAGTGCAATGTAATACTTCAACACGGCATCTTCGTCGTAGGTCAATCGAGATTGGTCTTCAGCAAACACAGTAACAATCGAAAAGTTCCAATTTTTATGTATTTTATCATAAATAACATGGTTTGACACATCAACGTTGAAGGTTTTTATTATAAACAACCTCAAATAAGTTATGCTGATAGCTTTGCATTTTCCTGGAAACTTTTCATTATCAAGAATCAAATTCTTGACAATTCCCCATTGTGTTTCAGTTAAAAGTGACGGTCTTCCGTTATCTTTTTTTCCAAACAATGCTGTCTCCATACCTCTTCGTTTGTTGATATTAAACTGACTTGAAGTTAAAGCAAAGACTCTACATAGTTTACTCTCGGTCACCTTTTCCGTATTCATTCCATTGAACATTTCTCTCTCAATGTTCATCAAATACACCTGAACATTCAGGGGCAATTCACAAAAGTTGCAATGTTTGCTGAATGTTCTTTGGGCTATTTCTTTCACTGGACCAGGACAATACTTTAAATTCTTTTCAAGTGTTGTATGGTCTAAGCCACTAAAAGCAACATTCCTGGAGCTCATAATTATATTATTTAGATTGTTTTTTTTTAAAGAAAAACATTTTTATTTAAAAAAAGAAAAACAAATATGTAATTTTTGTTGAATCCACAGGGTTTTCTCATTCTCACATACTTTTCTCACATACTGTAAATCGAAAAACCGAAAAAAATTATAAAATCAACTTTAACACTTAACTGACCGAAAACCAAAGTTTTATTAGAATAATAACAATATCAAAAATGCCTTCTTGAAAAAAGTTGTTAAAAAAGACCAAAAACCCCTTCTTGGCCGAAAAACCGAAAAATGACCCAAAACTTAGTCAAAAATAATAAAAATGATGACTCAATTACCTAAGATTTGTTTTTGAGGTTAAAAATAGCAACACATATTTTTTTCAAAAACACAGTCAAACTTTTCAAGAGCAAGAATTTATGGTAATTTTTGTTCTCTCAAGAACGGAAATTTTCGCTAATCAAACATCAAAACCTGTTCAATAGAAAACTTGATTTTTGTTTCAGTCTAAACTGCTTTTTATTGAGAGTGGCGCAATTTAGAGGTGCCGCGTTCAATAGGTTTTACTATATTTCAGAACCCCAAATTTATTTTATTAAATAATAATATATCAAATATACAATAACGAATTTTGTAGCATAAATAAGAAGTATATTAATAATATAAAAACAAACCATAACAAACTTAATTTGATTTGATGTATGTCTGTGTTGACTAGATAAACAGCAAGTTGTTTTTGAATTCGATAATATGTTGTTTTTATTGATTTTTTAGTTCATGTAATTAAAAATAGATCTGAATAAAAAACAAAAAACAATCAATTAATATTATTATAACATTATTATAACAAATAGTAAATATTAGGTGAAAAAATATATAAAACTATTAATTTAGTTATTTAATAAATATTATGTAACAATAGTTTACATTATTATATTTTCCAAACATCATTTTTATCTTTTTTGCAAAGTCCAAAAATTTTTATAATAATAGTTTATGTTAATATGATTATACAAAATAATTATTCAATTATGTCGTCATTTTCAAAATTATTTTTATAAAATTATATTTTGAAAAATGAAATTCATAAAAAATGAAATTAAAGGCAAAAATCAAATTTGGTATTAAATTATTAAAAAAAT